CCCCCCCCCCTCCTCCTTCGCCACCATCGACCAGGGATTTTGTCGCCCTCCTCGGTCCGACGCTGACCCTGCCTGCGACCATCAACCCGCCCTCCGGCCTGGCCGCCTGCCACACAGGTCCGCCACCTGTCGCTGCATGAGCACCACTCCATGAAGATCCTCGCCTCCTACGGCATCAACACCCCGAAGGGCGACGTCGCCACCACCCCGACCGAGGTGGAGCGCGTGGCGGCCAGCCTGAAGACCGAGGACTGCGTCATCAAGGCGCAGGTCCTGGCCGGCGGCCGTGGCAAGGGCCACTTCGAGAGCGGGCTCGTGGGCGGCGTGCGGGTGGTCCACTCGCCGACCGAGGCTCGCATGTTCGCCGAGAAGATGCTCGGCCAGCGTCTGTTCACCAAGCAGACCGGCAACCAGGGCCGCATGTGCAATGCCCTGTATGTGGTGGAGCGCCTGTTCGTCCGCCGCGAGTACTACTTTGCCATTCTGATGGACCGTGCCCATGGTGGTCCGGTGCTGGTGGCCTCGCCCCAGGGCGGCATGGACATCGAGGCCGTGGCCGAGGAGACCCCGGAGGCCATCTACTCCTACCCGGTTGACATCAACCAGGGCCTGACCATGGAGAAGGCGCGCCAGGTGGCCACCGACCTCGGCTTCACCGGCAACCAGGTGGACGACGCGGCCAACACCTTCCTCAAGCTGTACAAGATGTTCATCGAGAAGGACGCCACCATGGTGGAGATCAACCCCCTGGCTCTGTCCTCCGACAATGATGTCCTGTGCATGGATGCCAAGATCAACTTCGATGACAACGCCCAGTTCCGCCAGCCGGACGTCTTCAAGAAGCGCGACCCGACCCAGGAGGACGTGCGCGAGGTGGCTGCCTCGGAGTTCGACCTGAACTACATTGGTCTGGATGGCTCGATCGGCTGTCTGGGTGCGTTGTCTGTGTTTGCGTCTTCTTGTTGTTTTTCCTCCGTGTGCATGTGTGTGTGTGTGTGTGTGTGTGTGTGTGTGCATATGTGTGTTGTGTGTTGTATGTATGTGTGCATGTGCATATGTATGTGCATATGTATGTGTATGTGTGCATGTATACCTGCAGGAGCATACATGTGCTTATGCTCATGCTCATGCGCATCCATTTCTCCACACATGTGCCGCCATGGCGCGGCCCGTTGGCTGCTTCTCCCTGCTCGCTCTTGCACTGGCCCATGGTGCCTGGCCCCTGGACCGCTCGCTCACCACGCACCCCCTCCGCCCCCCCCCCCCCCCCCCCCCCCCCCCCCCCCCCCCCCCCCCCCCCCCCCCCCCCCCCCCCCCCCCCCCCCCCCCCCCCCCCCCCCCCCCCCCCCCCCCCCCCCCCCCCCCCCCCCCCCCCCCCCCCCCCCCCCCCCCGCACCACAGTCAACGGCGCCGGTCTCGCCATGGCCACCATGGACATCATCAAGCTGCATGGCGGCTCGCCGGCCAACTTCCTCGATGTCGGCGGCAGCGCCACCGAGCGCCAGGTCACCGAGGCCTTCAAGATCATTTCCTCCGACCCGCACGTCCAGGCCATCCTGGTCAACATCTTCGGTGGTATCATGCGCTGCGACACCATCGCCCAGGGCATCATCACCGCTGTCAACCAGCTGAACCTCAACATCCCGCTGGTGGTCCGCCTCCAGGGCACTCGCGTGGCCGAGGCCAAGGAGCTCATCGCCAACTCCGGCCTGAAGATCATCTCCTGCGACGACCTCGACAAGGCCGCCAAGACCGCCGTCAACATGTCCCAGATCTGGGAGATGGCCAAGAAGTCCAACATCAACGTGAAGTTCGAGCTGCCCCTCTAAGCGGCGGGTAGCTTGTGCTGTGCGCGTGTTTGCTTCGCGCCGCCCCCCCCCCCCCGCCCTCTCGGCAGTGTGTG